CAAACCGGAACTCTTCACGTCCCCCAACCGCACGCCTATCTTCGCCTCATTCTCCGCCTTCCAATCCTTGTACATCAGATTCTCCATGAATTTGCAGTCCCTGCTCACCAAGAATTTCTTGGTGAATGGGTCCCAAAGAAGCCACCCCTTGCTGTTTTGAGCCATGCCCAAGTGCACAGCCCATATCGCCTTGGCACCGAGCTTGTTGTGCCGAAGATGCTTAGGCACGAGCGCCATGCACATGCACCCGAACACCCGAAGCATATCCACCTTTGGCTTCCTTCCAATCCACTCCACATAGGGCACCCATTTGTCTGCTCCCACATGAGTCAAAGCTCTGTTCTTGGCCACACATGCACTCCGCACCGCATCAGGCCAGAAATATTCGGGTAGCCCGGCTTCAATGAGCAACCCGCGCGCCGTCTCCGTGATTGTCCGGTTCGCTCGCTCGGCGATGCCGTTCATTGCAGGGGAGTATGGCATGGTAAGGGAGTGCCTTATGCCATTCTTCTTCAGCCACAATCCAAACTCCTTGCTCAAGAACTCTCCCCCTCGATCGGTGCGGATTGCCTTCACTAGCCGGTCTTGTTGCCGCTCCACCATCGGCAACCAATCGGTCTTCACCGTTTCAGCCACGTCACTCTTCTTGGACAGCACGTACACCCAAGTCATGCGAGTGTAGACGTCCACAATGGTGAGAAAGTACTCAGCTCCAGCAGCTCCAAGCTTCAGGGGGCCCACCACGTCCATCACCACCTCATCAAGTGGTGCCTTAGCCGTTGCCTCCGAACTAGAGAACGGGAAACGGGTGAACTTGGCTTGCATGCACGTCGGGCAGCCAATTACCTCATCGGGCTCCCCCTTCACACGTATGCCAGCAACCATCTCATTCTTCACTAGCTGCTGCAAGATGGGCAGGGCCACATGCCCCATTCGCCGATGCAAGGTGAGCCAATCACACTCCCCCGTAGCCGAAGTCGGATTGGAGAATGCCGCACTCGCAATAGTGCCCCACATGTTCTCTCCGTAATCCTCCTCCGCTGCTGCCTTGGGGTTCTCCTCACCCTTGTGCTGCTTCTGAGCTGCTGCACCACTCTCCTCATGTTCACCGAGCTTGCTGGTCCCTCCAAGATTGCACTTCTTGGACTTTATCTCCTTAGTGCGACCGTTCGCGCCATCGCCGCTACCAACCGCTTCACCCTTGGTGCTGATGCTTGCTGCCACCTGCCTCTCCTTAGGCATGGGGACCACAGGGATTTGCCACATCTCGTTGTAGACATCCCTATCCTCGTGAAGGTCCCAAAGAATCCGCTTGCCAAGCCTCGCGGTGTAGGTCTTAGCTCCCTTCGAGCTCGTGTCCATGCCGGCCTTTTGCAACCGCCGCACGGAAATCAGGTTTGCAGCAAGGCTGGGCACCCAAAGCACGTTCTTGAGGCCCACCATCTTCCCATCAGCACCCTTGAACATGGCCTTGCCCATGCCTTTCACCTCTGCTCGCTGCCCCAAAGCCGATGTCACATGCTTCACCGGTGACGGCTCATGTTCGGTGAGCAAGTCCGCACGAGGTGTCATGCTATAGGTAGCGCCGCTATCGATCACCCAATAGTCCAGGGAGTGTAGGGTGACCTTCCCCACAGCTGCTGGCTCCTCAAAGCTTTCATCATTCTCTGGACCAGCCGGTGCTTGCGTGGACACGAAGAAGAATTGACCCGGGAAGCGATCGTCCCTCGACTCGCTCTCGTTGCCGGCACTCTTCATACTTGCAGCACCACCTCCGCGATCGCCACGGCCTCCACGGCCTCTTCCTCTCCCTCCTCCTGCTCCTCTACCCTCTTGGCCTTGAGCAGGAGTCCATCCATCAGGGAGTTTGTAGCAATCGCGCCACATGTGTCCGCTCTTGTGGCAAAAATGACACTCGCCGTCGAACCGTCCGCGACCGCGTCCGTTGTTCTTGTTGTCATTGCCGTATCCACTACTCCCGCGGCCTCCGTTGAAGTTGCTGCCTCCAAACCTTCCTCCCCCTCGTCCTCTGCCTCTTCCTCGACCATATCCACGGCCGATGCTCGCTGCCCCAGCGCCATCCGCACTCGCCAACTCACGGCGGCGGAAATCCTCTTGAAGGATAGCTCGCTTCACGTCTTCAAGCGAGAGGCGGGGCAAGTCGCGATTAAGGTTGATGATGAGCGAGGACCATGACTCTGGGAGTAAGGCCAGCAACTTGGTCTTCTTTTGGAGCTCACTGTAGTTCAAATCAGCTCCCTCAAGCCGCGTCAACAAGTCGAAGAATTTCTGCACCCCTTCTTCAACCGCTTCGTCTTCTTCAATTCGTAGTGCCGCCATTTGCCGTTCCAACACCACCGCTACCGCCGCTGTTGCAGGAGCATGTACACCCTTGAGAGCAGCCCATGCCTTTGGTCCCTTCTCTGGTTCACGCTGGAATGGTTTGATGTGACGGATCTGGCTGCTCCCCAACGCTTGCCCAAGTAGGAGATAGCCTTGTGCGCTCTTCCGCACCCACGGGCTCTTCTCCGGGTCGTTCTCGGGGCGCTTCTCCGTTCCTTCCATCACCTCCAGCAGGTCATAGTGGTCAAAGATGTTCTCCATCTTGAAGGACCATTCAGCAAAGTTGTCACCGTTGAACTTGTCAAGCCCAAACACCCTAGGCTCATCCCTAGGTGGGCCAAGACTTGGTTGCATGGGCGCCATGGCTGAATCACGGGGTTGGCCTTGAGCTTGGGCTTCTCCACTGCCACCAGCAACTCTGCCACCCCTTTCCTCAGGTCCAGAAATTGTCGAAACTGCTCCAAGGGGCTCTGATACCACTTGTTATAATCACAATAGGCTTGAATGTGCCTAAAACGAAAGATAGAGAGCACAGACGGATTTCTGCACAGCGGCTTCAAACGTTGATAGCGTTCTGCTCACAGCTGCAAATGACTTGATTCAAATTGGATCTGGAGCGTCTTCACGTCGTCTACAATTATCAATTTAGATTGCACGATTTGATAAAGAATTGACGACACAGCGTCGGTTTGAACGAACGGTACTATGGCAGCCACTATAGTCTTAGAACACAAGATAGGAAGAGTTACGAGTTGGGAATGACTCCCAGCTCCTACAAACCCCAAGAGCCGAGGTACAGTGATGTGGAACAGTGCCACACTGTCCCCAACCACGAAGGGTCTCGAAACTACCCTTCACTAGGGCCTACACCAAGTGAAATGTTACACTACACAAAGTAATGTAACTATCTTCAATATCTTGAGGTGTACCCTTTTGGCAAGCTTCGAAATCACTTGAGGCTTGACACCAAGGCTCGGGCTCTTCATCACAAACTCATCCTTGAGTTCTTGATGGGTCTGCTGCACACACCTGCGACACGCCGAACGTTCGACACAGGACAAAATAGAAACCGCGCACGACAAAATAGAAACCGCGCGCGAGACACAAACGACCGCGTAACACGCGTCTAGCGATAACTCGCTATTGACTCGACACACACACTCGACATCATGACTCAACATTCACACACAATTATAAGCATGAAATATATATTATCCCATGCCCTCATACCATTCCATACACACACACATTCACGCACACGGACAACAAGCCGAGTGCAAACCGTAGGGTTGCACCAACATGATGTACGCAATGGTGTGCACCCGCCCCGACCTCGCCTACCCCATCAGCGTGCTCGCTCGCTTTGTCGGCACCGGTCGTCACTCTGAGGAGCACTGGAAAGCTGCCAAGCGGGTCCTCCGCTACCTTCGCGGGACCAGGGACCTTGCCCTCACCCTCGGCGGCCCTTCCCGTCCCCTTCTCTCGGGCTTCAGCGACTCCTCATGGGCTGACACGCAGCCGGACCGCCGCTCCTCCCAGGGCTACGGCTTCACCCTTGGCAGCGGCCTCATCAGCTGGCGCTCCACCCGCTCCTCCGCCATCTCTCTCTCCACCTGCGAAGCCGAGCTCTACGCTGGCACCATGGCCGCCCAGGAGTCGCGCTGGCTCTGCTTCCTTCTTGCGGAGCTTGGCGCCCCCCAGACGTGCCCCACTCTCTGGTGCGACAACGCCAGCACCATCCATCTCACTCAGGACCCCGTCTATCACGCCCGCTCCAAGCACATCGAACTCCGCTACTTCTTCGTTCGCGAGCTCGTCCAGAAGGGCCTCATTGCCGTTCGCAAGATTGCAACCGAGGCCAACTTGGCCGACATCTTCACTAAGGCCCTCCTTCGCCCCGCGCACTCTGCCTTCCTCCGCCTCATTGGCCTTGCTCGCCCAGGCGCCCCTTGATTCAGGGGTTGTTCTCTTCTTGTGTTAGCATGCTAAGGGGTTGTGTTAAAATATATATTGTGTAGCATGCCAACACATGTGACTGTACACCAATTGTGGTGTACAGTTGGGTTGGGACTACACCCAACTTTGGGTGTAGTCTTGCACTTTGGGGTGCCAATCCACCCAATTGTGGTGGAGCCCCCAAATGCAACCCTCTTGACTTGTGGGTACCTCACTTCCCACAATTGAGGTTACCCCAAGCCAAGTGGGCCTAGGGTTGCCTCACTTCTACAAAGTGTGGGCAACCCAACCCACTTGACCTATGGTTCCCTCACTTCCCCAAGTGAGGTCAACCCAACCTATGGTCACTTTCATCCTTCCCTTCCAACCTTCCCTTCCAACTATGTATGCTAGGTTGTTCCTCTAATCTAATTACTTGTTCAATTCACAATCTTCACAGACTGATGCTTGATAGAACAGTCTCTTACAGGCACACCACCTCCGCACTGCATTCAACAAAGACGCCTGCTCCCAGTTGCAGCTCCGGCAGTCACACTCTCATAAGCCTCACCGAAGCAGCTGTTGTTTGATAGAGGCGGCGCGTGGGAGACCAGTAGCCCACAGGTACCACCTCCACGTTTCCTTGCAGGCTCACTGACCCAGTGACTGCACTAGTGGCATCCATAGGGGACTTTGTTGACTGAGTTGACTGAGTTGACTGGTCAGTGGCTTGGCTGTGGATGTTGAGGATGCGAGTGAGGTTGCTCTGCTGGTCGCCCCAGGGGGAGAGAGAGATGGTGCCTGATGCGCCCTCGAACGTCGTTCTCAGCATGGCTGCTCGCAGCATGGGGCCCACTGAAGCGAGGGGGATAGAAGGCAGGGTCGGGAGGGGAGAGCATGAGGCTTGACTGTGGTGGATGTTGAGGATGCGAGTGAGGTTGCTCTGCTGGTCGCCCCAGGGGGACAGGGAGATGGTGCCTGATGCGCCCACGAACGTCGTTCTCAGCATGGCTGCTCGCAGCATGGAACCCACTGGAGTGGGGGGGGGAGGATTGGGATGGGAAGGGTTCGTGAGGGGAGTTGATTGTGAGTTGACTCAAGAACCACCCCCACGGGGACAGGGAGATGGTGCCTGATGCGCCCATGAACGTGATTCTCAGCATGGCTGCTTGCAGCGTGTGGAGTGGGGGGGTTGGGATTGGAGGAGGGGGGAAAGGGATGGTGAGAGAGGGAGTGGGTGAGGTGAGGGATTCGTGAGAGGAGGGGAGCGAGACACTGGTAAGAGAACTTGGGATGGGTGTGGGGGGCGAAGAGAGGTAGTGGTTGCGAAAAAGGGGAGGAGGAAGGGCGGGGTGGTTGGGGGTGTGGGGGCAGCAGAAAACCAAGAGCAAGATTCTTAGCAAGTGGAGGAGGGGATGGGATTGGAGAAGAGGGGGAGGGTGGGGGGGGTGTGGGAGAGAGGGAAAGGCGGGGAGAACAGGAGTGTTCTCACAAGGGCTTCTTTGGAGTGATGCGAGAGGTGGGATGAGAGGCGAATCAGCACCACTACTTTTGCTGCTGCTGCCGCTGCTGCTGCCGCTGCTGCTGCCGCTGCTGCTGCCGCTGCTGCTTTTGCTGCTGCTGCCGCTGCTGCTTTTGCTGCTGCTTTTGCTGCTGCTGCCGCTGCTGCTGCCGCTGCTGCTGCCATTGTGTCCGATGCTCCCATTGCTGCTTATGCTAGTATCATTGCCGTTGCCGTTGCCGGTATCAGGCAGCAGATCCAGATGGAGACGTGGCCAGGGCGAGTCAAGTAGAGCCGTGAGGTTAGTGTGGGGTTCTGTGGTTGTGGTAGTGGTGTTAGAAGATGACGAGTTGCTCCTGCTGGCGGAACTGCTGTTATAGAGGATGGAGTGTAGAGCGTGAGCGATGAGGTAGACTGCATCGTGGGAAGCCAGGGCATAGGCCATGGGCATCTGTGGCATGGGGAGGTGTGCAGCATGGGAGAGAGGTGCAGCAGCAGGGGAGAAGATGCAGCAGGGAAAAAGATCCAGCAGGGAAAGGCGTCACGCATTGGGATAGAGGCAGGCATTTGGGGATGAGGACAACAGAGCGATGAGATGCACAATAGCAGCTGACGGCTGACTCAACAGCCCGTCTGACCTGGCGGCTGACGTTGGGGAAGCGCACAGGGTCGAGGGTGAGCCACTTTGAGATGAAGGCAGTCAGGGGAGCGGAGGTAGGGATGTTCGTGGCCGTCACTATCATGCCCTGCCAGGGAACATTGGGGGAGAAAGAAAGGCGTGGGGGGGGTTCACGGAGAAGCGTCGGGGAAGAGGAGCACGGGGGAGGAGAGCATGAAGGAGGGAAGCATCAAAGAGAAGAGGAAGCATTGGGGGGTGGAGCATTGTGGGAGGGAGGAAGGGCAGGGCGGGGGGAGGAGGGAGGAGGGGAGGAGTGGGGGGGAGGGCCGTTTCATTGCATCAATGCGTTATGAGAGAGGCAGCGTGTAAGGAGCATAATGCCAAAATCAAAACAGAAATTCGAGCTGGATAGAAGCGACGCATTCAAATCACGAAACTGAGGGAGGGGCATGAGGGAAGACCAGCGGACCTGAGCATAGTGCAGGGCGGAGCCAGCGAGGAGTGCACTCCCTTCCGTTGCAATCCACACGTTGTTGGCCGAAAACAGACCCAGCCTGTTCGCTGCACAATGGGAGCAGGCAGCGAGAAAGATGGACAGAAGCGGAGGGACGTGGCTGTGGCAGGGAAGGGAGGTGGATAAATACTGAAAGAATAAGAGTGGGAGGGGCAATTGTGCAGTATCTCCACTGGTAACGAGTCTGTCTGTAATGTCCCCCCTCATTCCATTCCGCTTCCTCAAGTTCCTCTCCCTTACACACACTGTCTCTCACTGCCCCTCACTCTGTCTCGACTCTCACTCGCACTCCTCCTCTCTAACTAGCACACACAATCTCCACTCGCACCTGCTAGAATGACGGCTGTGGCAACGGCAGTGGACGTGTGCAGCACACACACAGCCGTATCCACCTCTAGCAGCACCTGCAGGCGCTGCTATGTGAAACGAAACGATTCCTGACACACCCCACGGAAATCCACACACACCTGCTAGAATGACGGCCGTGGCAACGGCAGTGGACGCGTGCAGGACATACACAGCCGTATCCACCTCCAACAGCACCTGCAGGCGCTGCTGCTGCGTAAAATGAGACGCTTTCTGACACGCCTCAAGAATTCACACACACCAGCAAGTATGACGGCCGTGGCAACCGCAGCAGGCGCATTTTGAGTCGACTCATCAAAACTCGTGCAGAACGTACACACAGCTGCTGCAGGCGCTGCTGCGTGAAATGAGAAGCTTCCTGAGGCGTCTCATGAATGCACACGCACCAGCAAGTATAACCGCCGTGGCAACGGCAGTGGATGCGTGCAAAACGTACACAGCAGTGTCCACCTCCAGCAGCACCTGCAGGCGCTGCTGCACCTCTGCTGCCGTGCTCCCTGGGGTGATAGCCACGCGATGAGCCATGCTGATGCCTTGCTGCGCATACAGAGGAAGGGAGAGAAGGTATGTGGGAGTTGGGGTTGGACGGGAGGGGAGGGAGCAGAGTTTCAAAAAGCGATTTGAAGTGCCCAAACCATGCAGCAGGAGTGGGCGTATCCCCTTCTCTGCTCCTAAGTTCCCTGAAAGGTGATGGCCACACGAGATGAGGAGTAAATAGGGTGGAAACGACCCCTTGTTTGTGGCTTATGAGTAACATGGTTCGGACGATTTGGCTGACGACTATCACAGAGACATGCTGCCAGGAGGAGTAGGGGCAGGGCCGGGGATAGAGAGAAGGGGGAAGGGGGAATAGGGACAGGAGCAGGGACAGGGATAGGGATAGGGATAAGGATAGGGATAGGGATAGGGATAGGGATAGGGATAGGGATAGGGATAGGGATAGGGATAGGGATAGGGATAGGGATAGGGATAGGGATAGGAAAAGGGATAGGTGATACGGATAGGGATAGGAACAGGGACAGGGATGGAGATAGGGAGGGATAGGGATAAAGATAGGAAAAGGGATAGGGATACGGATACAGATAGAGATAGGGATAGGGATAGGGATAGGGATAGGAAAAAGGGACACGGATAGGGATAGGGATGAGGATAGGGATAGGGATACGGATAGGAATAGGGATAGGGATAGGGATAGGGATACGGATAGGGGGATAGGGATAGGGATAGGGATAGCGTTAGGGATAGCGACGGAGACAAAGATAGGAATAGGGAAGTGGGTGCAGGGGCAGGGCAGGATGGCGGCAGGGCAGGGATACGGAATACTTACATTGAGTGCAAGCACGCATGCTTCCAGCGCTGTGATGCCATTGCCTCCGTATCGGTCGTCGCTGTGAATGGCGATAAATGCCTTCCACTGGTATATTGCCAGAATGTCTGTGTTGTTGCAGGTGGGGGGGGGATTGTGGGGGAAATAGGGGATGGGGAGATGGATGGATGGATGGATGGATGGATGGATGGATGGATGGATGGATGGATGGATGGATGGATGGATGGATGGATGGACGGATATGTACTGGCAGTGACTCATGTTTGAGGGGGGTGAGTGGGGGGGAGAGCTTGCATGCAGCGTACCTGCAATGGCTTGCACCAGATGCCCGTTGCTCTCACCTGGTGGGAGATACAGGGAAAACGGGAGAGCACACACCCACCCACCGGCAATGGCGCGCATCTGGTGGCCGTCGCTCTGCACAGTGCGCATGAAGAAGGGTCGTGTGCCGCCCACAGTGAGCTGCGCGTCCGTGGCAGAGGCGGACACGAAGGGCACTTGAGTGGCCGTGGCGAATGGGCTCACCAGCGCTGCCTGCTCCGATGTGTGCGGCCCTATCACTGCCACTGGCCGCTGCCTCACCAGACTGTAGGCTGTGGGTTGGGGCGATGGGAGTGGGGGGGTGTTTGAATGAGTGAGACGTCTCAAAGCGTGTGGCCGTGGCGAATGGGCTCACCAGCGCTGCTTGCTCCGATGTGTGCGGCCCCACCACTGCCACTGGCCGCTGCCTCACCACGCTGTAGGCTGAGAGGGAGTTATATTATTAGAGTAAGGGGGGCGGATGGGGGAGAGAGAGAGCGGATCAGGTGTGGCAGGGAGTGAGGACTCCATGCTGCCATGCCTCTCACCTGCCATCATGCTGCCATGCCAAGCCCCTCACCTGCCATCATGCTGCCATGCCAAGCCCCTCACCTGCCATCATGCTGCCATGCCAAGCCCCTCACCTTCCATCATGCTGCCATGCCAAGCCCCTCACCTGCCATCATGCTGCCATGCCAAGCCCCTCACCTGCCATCATGCTGCCATGCCAAGCCCCTCACCTGCCATCATGCTGCCATGCCAAGCCCCTCACCTGCCATCATGCTGCCATGCCAAGCCCCTCACCTGCCATCATGCTGCCATGCCAAGCCCCTCACCTGCCATCATGCATCCCTGCATCTCTCACACGCCATCGTGCATCCATGCCTCTCTCATCTATTATCATGCCTCTCTCACCAGCCATCATGCTGGCGATGGGGGCAGTCATGGAGTAGTTGGCCGTGGTGAGGCGCAGATGGTGATGTGGGAGGATGGAGGGGTCTCTGTTGATCGCATCCACTGCCATCACACTGCCTGCATGCATAGGCATGAAGTGTAATCACATGCACGCACATGCACCATGCGCCATGAATGAATGCACATGCAGGCATCCACGCGCTCAGGCACGCACATGCATCCATAAGCTATGCATCATCTACATGCACATGCACATGCACATGCAGCCATGCACACGTGCAGATACATATGCACGGGAGAGGCATGGCGAGGGAGAAGGGGGGAAACACACCAACACAAGCAACTGTTGCTGAAAAACCATAGTAGTTCAAATCCGACTTCAGCATTGTCCATGTGCCTTGGTTCCGACGGCACATGCACAGACGGACAACAGGATGCATATCATCCCGCCTCAGTAACCCTCAGTAACCCATCACCAAACCAGCCTTCTATGAAACGTCTGAAATCACCCCACCGCCGCCAATGCATTGCACCATCCTGGACCCCTCAGTCAAACCAGTCAACCCACCATGCTGGACCCCTCAGTCAACCCAGTCAACCCACGCCTGGACCCTCAGTCAACCCAGTCAACTCACGTCTGGACCCTCAGTCAACCCAGTCACCACACCTTTCTGGACCCCTCAGTCTACTCAATCAACCCAGTCAACACACCTTTCTGGGCCCCAGTCTACTCAGTCAACGCTGTCAACCCACCTGCGAGCATGTGAATGCCTTCAGCGACGTCCGTTGCGACAAGGCACCCAATCGTCACCTCCTTCCCCTTCATGAGCGATTCTTGAGAACTCTCAGATATCATCCTGGACCCAACTCCTGTTGTAGAGGACTCTCCTCTACTTTGCAGGAACTGGGAGTTGTTCTAAACGATAGAGCTCTGTCTTAGCTTTCCAACGAGCCGTCAAACACGTCGATCGCCTAAGTATTCTCCGAGATATAGGCGTTCACGTGCTAGGTGGTGCTCTTGAATGCAAGTAAAGAAGCTCTCTGGAATTTGTGTTCGAATGTACCTTGTACAAAGAACTCTGAGTTTCACTATGATGGCATGCAATACAAAGAAAACAGATTTATAGCATGCAAACAAGATCGAATCGCACAAGTAACCTCGAACCGCTACACTCGCGAATGTTCGAGTAACATCGAAAGGGTGAAATTCGACTCTCGAATTTCACCGATCCGAATTCTCCTTGGGTCTCGAATGTTCCTAGTGCTGCCATGTGGCACCGAATCGAATGGGTCTTCCGAAGTCAATCCTCAACCCCACGCAAACCTGCAACTCACTCGAAGGTGAGCACAAGTCACACATTCGGTGGGTTGGGGGCATACAAACGCCCCACCACCACCTTGCTTCCAACACACGTAATCTCCAATACTCCCCATTGCACCCAACCCACTAGGTGTGCAAACCAACATGCTCATAGCATGCACGGGATGAATCTTTAGGGGGTGGTTCCATGAGAGATTTCGCGTGTTCATCATCACCCTTGGTTGCGAAGCAAAATGCCGCGCCCTCCTTATCCGTCTCCCCAACGGCTACCGTAGCGTAGTCGTTGTACTTGGAGGGAGGACGAACCTCACGACGCTCGCGGGTCAAGGCCAATGGTAGGGAGGAAGGTGTGGAGGTAGTTGCCGCCTCGGTTGGTGACACCTCCACGACATCATCAATGCTCTCCTCGTTGTTCGCTCCCCCTCCATCGGCTTCCTTCTCCACTTGAGGTGGAGTCTCACTCTCTTCAACCTCCTCTCGTGGCGGAAGGATGAAGGTGAGTTGTTGAGTGGGTTTCTCCTTCGACGGGAACTTGTCTTCATCGAAGACCACGTCCCGAGACGTGACGACGCACTTGTCGCCCAAGTCCCACACTCGCCACGCACGCTAGTTCGCCGCAATTCCCAAGTAGATCGCCGCACGAGCCTTCGGTTGCAACTTGTGGCAAAGGGGATCCGGTACATGGTAGTAGCAAAGGCACCCAAAGGTGCGAAGGCGGGATAGGTTCGGCTTCGTTCCGGTCCATGCTTCGAACGGAGTCATTCCCGGGAGCACCTTCGTCGGCAAACGGTTGCGAATCCACGCCGCTAGCGAACTCGCCTCGCCCCACCACTCTTTCCCAAGCTTGGAGTGTTGAAGAAGAGAACGAACGGCTTCCACCAACGTGCGATTAAGCCGCTCCGCCGCTCCATTTTGTTGGGGTGTGTAGGGTGTTGTGACGTCGTGCTTAATGCCCTTGCACTTCATCCATTTCTCGAGCTCCGCATTCACGAATTCGCCACCACCATCGGTGCGAATACACTTGATCCGCTTCTTGTCATCGTCGCAAACTTCGAGCGCCCACTCTTGAATCGCCTTGACCGCATCTCCCTTAGCCTTCAAAAGTCGGGTCCAACACATCCGCGTCGCGTCGTCGAGCATCACTAAGAGGAACCGCGCTCCTCCCTTTGATGCATGCCGCATCGGTCCACACACGTCCATGTGAACAAGTGCAAGCGGGTCCTTAGCGAGGGGTGACGTTCGGCTACCGAATGGCTTGCGAGCCATTTTACCTTCGACACACGCCGCGCACACGCCCTTCTCGTCGTCGCCGGCGATCACGTCGACTCCCTTCGCAAGTCCTTTGTTGGCCAACTCCTTGACCGAGTCGTAGTTGGCGTGCGCAAGCCGATTATGCCACGCCTTGAGAGTCGCCTTGGAGCCTTGCGCCACGTTGGATGAAGCCGCTCTCGGGTACGTCTTGAGTTGGTAGATATCTCCGTTGAGAACACCTTGCGCGAATTGCTCCCCCTTCCAAAAGAGGTTTATTTTCGCACCGTCGATCGTGGCGATCACTCCCTTCTTCGCAAGTTGTGGGACGGATAGAAGGTTCACCTTCACCCCCGGGACGTGAAACACGTTCGTCACGTCCACCGGACCGCTATCGACGATGAGGCGCGTACTCCCAACTCCGACCACCGGTAGCGATTCGTTGTTTCCGAACACGATGCTCGTGACGTCTCCCGGAGCGCCAATGTTGTTGAGGAGCGACGCCGAGTGCGTCATGTGTTGCGTTGCGCCGGTATCGAGGAACCACGCGTCGCTTGGAGTTTTGTTCCCGTTGCCGGCCACTAACACGAGCGACTCCTTTGAATCATCGGCCTCGCCGGATGCCGTGTGCGCGTTGCCCTCTTGGTCCCGCGCCATCGATGGAGTCCAATCGCTCGGCCGCTTTCGACACTCACGCCAAAAGTGTCCCGGTTTGCGGCAATAGTGACACTTGCCGCGATGCTCGCTCCCACCGGACGATTCCTTCGTTGCGTCCTTGCTCCACTTGGACTTCTTTCCGGAACTCCCTCCGGAGTACATGGCGGCACCCTCGCTCTCATTAGCGAATTGTCGGCGACGCGATTCTTCATGGAGAAGCCGACCAACCACCATTTCCTTCGTCCAAGTGTCTTGCACGCTATCGAGTGTCGTAATCACCGTCGACCACTCTTCCGGAAGGCCGCAACGCAAGGTGAGAATCCAATCCTCCTCCGTGACCGTTCCACCGAGGTTCATGAACGTTTCCCCGAGTTCCTCCACACGAGTCGCAAACTCGTGCATCGATTCGCCCGCGCGCATCTTCACCGTGTAGAACGCATTCCGGGCTAGGATCTTGCCGTGGAGAGTCTTGTTCACGTGGATGGTCTCGAGCCGCTTCCACGCTTCATGCGCCGACGCTTCGAGCTTGATGCACATGCGCACCGAGCTCACGAGATTGATGCCGATGCGCGAAATCAACGTAGCGAACGCCTTTTGGTCCTTCTTCTTCCATGCCGCGATGCCGCTCTCATCGTCCGGCTTCTTCTCCGTTCCATCGAAGAAACCCCAAAGTCCCCGCTCCATCATGAGCACTTGGAACTTAAACTTCCACGCGGAGTAGTTTTGTCCCGTGAAAATCGGTACCGCCGACGTGTCGAACATCGTCGCGGTTGCCCAGGGTTCGCCGGAATTTACAACGACACCATCCAAGGAAGTGCGGGAGGCCTCGCTTGAAGTCATCATGCGTGCTCCTTGTCGCGCGCGTAGACTCCTCCGACCAGCTCTGATACCACTGTTGTAGAGGACTCTCCTCTACTTTGCAGGAACTAGGAGTTGTTCTAAACGATAGAGCTCTGTCTTAGCTTTCCAACGAGCCGTCAAACACGTCGATCGCCTAAGTATTCTCCGAGATATAGGCGTTCACGTGCTAGGTGGTGCTCTTGAATGCAAGAAGCTCTCTGGAATTTGTGTTCGAATGTACCTTGTACAAAGAACTCTGAGTTTCACTATGATGGCATGCAATACAAAGAAAACAGATTTATAGCATGCAAACAAGATCGAATCGCACAAGTAACCTCGAACCGCTACACTCGCGAATGTTCGAGTAACATCGAAAGGGTGAAATTCGACTCTCGAATTTCACCGATCCGAATTCTCCTTGGGTCTCGAATGTTCCTGGTGCTGCCATGTGGCACCGAATCGAATGGGTCTTCCGAAGTCAATCCTCAACCCCACGCAAACCTGCAACTCACTCGAAGGTGAGCACAAGTCACACATTCGGTGGGTTGGGGGCATACAAACGCCCCACCACCACCTTGCTTCCAACACACGTAATCTCCAACACTCCCCCTTGCACCCAACCCACTAGGTGTGCAAACCAACATGCTCATAGCATGCACGGGATGAATCTTTAGGGGGTGGTTCCATGAGATATTTCGCGTGTTCATCATCACCCTTGGTTGCGAAGCAAAATGCCGCGCCCTCCTTATCCGTCTCCCCAACGGCTACCGTAGCGTAGTCGTTGTACTTGGAGGGAGGACGAAAAATGTCGTTCTGCCGAAAACCGGTGGACGAGTACTTAGCTTTTTTTTTGGGTTGTCGAGCGCCCTGTAATTGGCCGTTTACTGTGAGGGAAGGGTTGTGACTTAGGACGCGGGGGTAAACTGGCGGTTTTTGTCTGTTGTGGGTGATTTCCGTGATTGTCTGGGATCGCGAATTTCAGGGGAAATGGGCAGGTTTGAGGCTGGAAGAACTTGGCAGTTTACTGGCAGGAACCTGACGTTGCCTGACGGGGCGGCTCGCTCGGGTAGAGAGCTGCGGAATGCTGCGGAATGCTGTGGATAACTGTGAAGGTCTTCCCGTGGTCACGATTTTCGTTTGCCACGTCATCTCATGGCGCGTGATTTTAGATTCGCGATATGATTCGAATCGACTGTTAGAACTGAAACTGTTGAATACATATTTACTTCTGTTTAGATTCGTAAATGTATGTGAAAGTATTGTTGCTAATCCCTTCAAACACTCACAATCACCCTACTATTTGCTAGGGTAGTATCAAATAATTATCGTATGCATGTTACCTCTGAATATACATCGCAATGTTCGATGGCCCGAAACTGATGAAGGATGGGCCAGTACGCAACATGTCACCGTTTCGTCGTTTGGTTTATTTTTTTAGCACCATTTCTTCACACATTCAGGTAGTTCAATCAATTACCTTGCCATAGGAACTGGTTTGAGTTAATTCGCACAACTACGCAGCACGTGACGCTTGTTTGTGCGTTTGATGGCCTGAACCTGTGCAAGGATAGGTAGTACGCAACATGTCACCGTTTCATCGTCTGGTTGTTTTTTTTAGCACCATTTCTTCACACATTCAGGTAATTCAATCAATTAACTTGCCATAGGAACTGGTTTGAGTTAATTCGCACAACTACGCAGCACGTGACGCTTGTGCGTTTGATGGCCTGAAACTGTGCAAGGATAGGTAGTACGCAACATGTCACCGTTTCATCATCTGGTTGTTTTTT